CGTCTTATTGTTGCTATCACAGTTTTATTTAAGTGCCCAGAGTGGTTTCCCCTGCTAATAAAAATGAACTGAATATTATGTAAATTGGCTGTACAGCTTATCTTGAAGAGAACTTGCAGTGAAACAGCTTTTACCATGTCACATAGTGCCTGGGTCTTAGCAGACATAGAAAGATTAATAACTGGTAAGAGCAAGACTGGTTCTTTCTTAGACTTGATTGTCTGCAAATACTTTGGATTTTCTAACTGGCTTCCTTTATGTTGTAACTTCCATGTGAGAAACATGGCAGCAAAGATAGTTGTGTAGATGTTTAAATAACAAGGCCAGTTATTTAATAAGCTTTTTAAAGATATTAACAACTACAGTGTTTGAGACTTAGGAGCACTACCACAAAGCAAACAGAAAACAAAGCCATTACACCAGAACACCATAATTCCTCTGTATCTAAACTAATATCACAATACATCAAACAAGCTGGCTTGAGAAGACCTCTCCTATTCACTGCCGACTTGTCTTTTTTTTTTTTCCTTTTTTTTCCTTAGGAGAGACTAGCCTTTAATGGGGACATCATAGTGATGGTTAGATGTTGTTTGGGAAATGTAAAATAATTGTATCTCAGGTATCAACTGCTCCTCATAGGAGACAGCCCGAATTTATCGTTTTCCTGTAGAAACAGCTTGGGAACATTTGATAGATCACTGAACAACACAAAGAAAGCTCCTCACAGTGTCATTTCACATTTAAGAAGAACACAATTCATGGGTTTTGCATCAGTGATTTTTATTTTAAGCCAAATTCCGCATACAAAAGGACTGTTTCTGTCATGTTTGAGGTTTGAAGTTTCAGTTCTTTTTTTATAAGGAGTTCTGAATATAGCAGCTTTGCAAGCACAGCACATGAAAAGAAAGCAAATTAGGCTGAGGAAAATAATGGCCAATACCATTCACAGAATCGCCCATGGATACAAACAGCAGAATATATAGGACTGGACCACTGAAGAAAAAAGAAAAAGAAGAAAAAAAAAAAAAAAAAGATGCAGGGACTTGCAACTTAACAGTGTTGAGCAAAGAAAACATGTTTTGAGTTTAAATCTTTTGCTTGTCAGCACAAACAGCTGTCTTAGCCAAAGAAAATTCGTATGTTGAAAAAAAGTGAGGTAAATTATAAGTGAATCACCTGGGATAACGGTGTAGATAGTGGCTGTCTCTAAAACTAGGAAATTAACTAACTTTCCTTTTTTGTTCTCTGTCAGATTGCTGCAGTTTTAGTCATGCACAGGAAATTTGGAATAAATTGAAAATTACAAGGAAAGGAACTGCACAATAGGTGGCATAAATACTTTGCTAACGAGCAAGGCTGGGAACCACAGATGTGCAAACTGTGATTCAAATTCACTTGAATTTCAAAAGAAGAACTGCACAAGGCCTGACCATGCAAGAAGGAGTTGGCCACTTGATGGGCAGGACAGTTTGTTGAGAAAGGTAATCATTTGCCCAGCTGTAACGCTGGCAGCCTGGATCCTGCGCTGATCCACACAGTCAGTCAAAATACTGATTTTTGCAATTGTTGGCCATCTTTAGTTACCATCATCTGAGTCTGTCCTGAGGTAGTCTCTTCTGGATGAGGACTTCTCTAATAAACACTCCTGTATCATCTATCCATGGCCAACACTGATCTCAGAGGGAATGGATGGCACACTCGCCTATCAGTAGTGAGTAAGTCACAGCCTAGCTGGTGGGTTAGATAGACATCCATCTGCAGTCCTTCCTTGGGCAAGACTCTTGCGTATCCTGTAAAATGGCAAGTTAACGATAAGACTTTCCATAAAAGGTGGGAGCGGCTGAAATCATCTTTTGGTGAGAAGCAAAGTTTTCATGATTTGGGTTGTTCTGCTTTTTACTTTTATTAAGTTCCCTTCTGTTGGTTTTAATGTGCCCTCCCCTGATCCTATATAAAAGGTTAATCTCCTCCCAGTTAGGCTAATCAGGTTTGTTCCACCTCTCTGCATTCTCATTATTTGGCTACATACCAGATACCATCTAATAAAGAGGTAAGACAACTTCTTTCTTTTCCCTTTCCCCTGCCAACCTGTTAGTTTTACAGCAACATTCTCTACATCTCACTGAGATCCCCTCCCTCTTAACTTCACCATCTCCTGCCATCCCCTTTTTGTTAGTCTCTGCCAGGTTCTTATTCTCTAAGAAGGAGCTGAAAAAAGACACTCCCATGTTAGAAGTAGATCTCAGAGCTCCCCTACTATGGACTAAGTTATACTTAGTCCCTTTCATTATTCTTTCTCTCTAAGCCATGGCAGGACATTCACTTGCAACACCTTTCATCCATTTTCTGCATTGTCTCATTTGCTCAGAGATTTTATTTTTTTTTTTCTTCTCTGCAATTTTTCTCACAAGCTCTCCCATGGACTCTTCATTGGTAGGCCCTCAGAAGGTGTTTCAGGGTTCATTTTTATCCTCTTGATTTTCATGAACTGGCAAATATTTTTTAAGCTTCATTTTCTGGAGTTCGTACATCCTAAGTTTTCCATCTGTAGCCACAATCATTCTTCTCTTTCTGTGGCTGAGCATTCCTCTTTCTGCAGACAGGCTCTTGCTCAGTCTCCTGTCAAAGACAGACATTCCCGTTGGCTGATGCAGCATGAAATGCACTGGTATGGCAAGGCTTCTGAAATACAACTGCTGCTTTGAAAGACAGTGATCCAGCCATTCCTCTCCAACCCACCACAGCCGCACGCATGTGCCCTGACAAGAAGCCTTTGCTGCCCTACTCCTCCAGGGGTAACAGCCCAGTTTTCCACCCAAGGCGGTGAGCAGATACAAAAAGCTTCTTAGGAAGCATTTGCTAATTGAAAGTCTTCCAAGGAAGGACTGGGCAATAGGCAATATGCCAGATAGGGCCATTCTTCAGGCCAGTGCCATATGAATTGTGCAGAACTGGCATTCATACAGCTGCAGTCATGGTCCCTGCCAACGGTATGATTGAAAGATCAGAAGCATACCTTAGCATGTGTGCTAAGGACAGGTCAACAGACTTCAAAAGGTTGCTGATGATGGGAAATCATCCCTTAACCAAGAAGGGTTCTTACAGGGTAGAGATTGTATCTGGATTCAATTCTATTCACTACTACATCTGGAAATCAAGAAAAATCTCCACTGATGAAATTCAAAGGAGATACTTAGTTTGATGGAGTAGAAAATAATGAGTAGGACAAGATAAGCACGCAGATGCATGGTGGTGGTTTATTGAGGCAAAAATATTACAGCAACTAAGAAAGAACAATGCCTAAAGAGCAAGATGTGTTTTTTTTTTCCTGAAAAGCAAGCACTTAAAGAAAGATTTTATGTCATTGCTGTTGTGGGGGAAGAGCTGAACTTGTGCCCCTTGTGCACTAGCATGTCAAAGAAGAGATTAATGAGGCTCTTACACAGACAAAAAAGCAGCAAGAGCAACAGCTTCTAGTTTCTGTGAGCAGAGCTGATGAAACTAGTGCCACAGTGTCGCCTGCTCATTTGACATTCACATCTTTAAAGGACTGCTAGTAAACTGAAGATGTACCTGAACTGCAGAGCAATAGCCTGCCCTGGAAGAACATCTCCCAGTGACAGATTTAAAAATCTCCACAGATGCAGCACATGAAAGATGACTGAGAAGCTATTTCCCATATAATGGTTTTATTCTGGTGAAGTATGAAACCAATAGATGCTACATCTCATTCTGTCTTCACATCAAGCTTTTCTGGAAGAAACGACTTCAGCCAGATGTAAGTTATTGGGCAGAGTAACAATGTCAGAGGTATATGGTATAGCAGCAAACAGCATAACTGAACAATAGCTATATTTGTGTCTGGAGTAACACTGGAGGTTGAACTAGAAGACATACCATCTCTCCTAGACTGAGATCTATGATTCTTCCTACCCTCTGAACCACCTCCTGTAGCTTTCTTTTTTCTGCTTCTCATTGTCCTCTTCAGTTTCTCCTGCCAACAAGCAAGCAGCCTCCCCTGTCCAGAAATTGGTTTTACTTCTGCTTGGCTGGCCTTTTCTGGGACACAGAGAGTAGCACTTGCCAGCTGCTAGCACAGCTGTTCTGTTGGTGGGACCCAAAACCATCCCATTTGACTGGCATGCCCTCTGTGCTCTCTCTCCCTTCCTAGGATCCCCCAAAAGACAGATAGGGTCCACCGCAGTCTCAGAAGAAATTAATAGAAGCTGTGAAGATCCCGGGTGCGACAAAAACCACGATAAACCTCAGCACCCTCTGCTTTACACCACACACACGTGCATCCATCCTACTTCTTATTTGGTATTTTTACCACTGTTACCATTTGTGGCAGTTCAGGGGTAGGAGGTAGATTTGCTGTATATAAAACCTACTACGGGAGACATCAAGGAAAAAGGTAGTGTGAATTAACACACCTTCATGTCTTTTCTTAGTAAGATAAGCAGCAGTTAGGAAGATCAAACAATGAATAAAAGGAGCCTTCCCTACACTAAACCTATACAGCTCTTTTCTTCTACAATTACATAGTGTAACTTGCAAAATGAGTTATTTGGCAGAGGGACTCCCACACACTCATCGAATGCCTTCCTCCTCTCCGCTCACTGAAGATGATCCTTTATTTTTTTTTTTCTGAGATTGAGATGCGTTTTATAACCCATAAGAAAGAACAAGGTTTCTGCTGAATGAGAGCTGCTTTAGTGACATCTATTTTAATGATTATTGGATAAGATAAAGCTGCTTTAATTCACCAATCAGGGTCTCAGTGGAAACTTTGTGTTTCCTTACACATTATAAGACATGTTTAATTTTATTTCTGAGTTTAAGGGACCATTTCTGGTTGAGGAAAGAAGAACTTGTGATACAATCTATAAGGAAGTACGAAGTTTCCGTTAAGAGACACAGCTACCTTGTGATGTCTGCTTTTTGCAGCTGCTGGATATCACTGTGTAGGCAGCACCTCCTGACAGAGCTACCTGGTGAGAAGCAAATGATTCTGCACCCTTAAAGCAAAGAAGATTCTTCACATCATCTGAGAAGAGGAGAAAAAAGGTAAAAACAACAAAATGTAGTTGCTGAAACAGTTGTGTACCATGTATGCTCATCATGGGTGTGATTGTAATGCTTTTTCATTTACCTTTTGTTGCTGCTTCAGTAATTTTAAATAGCTTTAATAACTCCTGCATCAGAAGGGGCTATATATGTGTTCTGTGAGCATGTTTTGAGTGTTAAATATTTAGGTATATTATGCTAACCTAGATTAGATTCAGGTATGTCTAGGTACAGCTGTTGCAAAGCTGTCATCTCTAGACCATTGGCATCCAACAGTTTTGTTCCTGTGACTTGTAATTCAGATTAAATTCCTCTCTGTGTGTAACAGAACACAGCCGTAGGCTGGAGAGGTGTCAGGCCTGGGACGTCACACAGTAGGGGTCAGGTTAATGATAGTCCATGTTTGTTGTTATGTAGCAGCAACGTACAGTGCAAAGACAAATAACACAATGATACTCACTTCTCCTTTCCATTCGTAAAAATAAAGACAAAAATGGACATAAATCAGGCTTATAAAAATTCTGGTATGTTAGGCTAAAAAAAAAAAAAAAGACAAGCTGTCACGCGAATAGCACACGCAGTAATACATCAGCAATGTATTTGTGCTGTGTCCAAGTTACTTACCTTGAAGTAACATCGCTTAAAACTCTGACTATTAGAAAAGAACATACATATGAAAATGACAAATTCCTATTATTCATTTAGCCACTGAAGACAGCTCTTACTGAAAACTCATGTCAGCTTTCAGTAAGTGTAATTTCATTAGAAGGTGTTTTCTTATGGTGAGGTTTGCCTAGTTGGAAAGGTGGGTGAAATCCTGAACTGCTATGAATAGTGGCTTTGCTTTTTACTTTATTCCGCACAGGATTGATCTCTGATGATATCTGTGGTCCGTATCCTTCATTCCTATTTGCTTTCCTCTCTGCAATTTGACCAGTGTTCTGTGTGCTTAACATCCAAGTTGCACAGTTTTGCCTGGACTATGCACATGAATGTCAGGGACAGTACTTTGCAAGCGTGCATCCCACAATGCTTAAATAGCGTTGGAAAACTTGGACTGAGAAGTGTCACTGCTAGTGAGTCAGGCTTGTTGAGTAACCACACGATCTTCACATGCTGGAACTCATCGACATTTTTATATTCTTTCCTTCTCAGGAACTGGAGAAAAAAAAAATGAGTTCTTCAAGTACAGAGTCCTCCGAAGCTGAGATCTCAACCTTATATGAGTATTACGATAATTATAACGATGCTCCAAAACCATGCAGTAAGGAAAGTGTCAAGAGGTTTGCAGCCTCCTTCCTACCTGTTCTGTATACCCTTGTATTCCTGGTTGGGCTCATGGGAAACACTCTGGTCATTGTGGTCCTCCTCAAATACAAGAGGCTGAAGAGCATGACTGATGTGTACCTGCTAAACCTCGCCATCTCAGATTTGCTCTTTGTTTTATCCTTGCCCTTCTGGTCTTATTTCACAATAGACCAATGGGTTTTTGGAACTGCCTTGTGTAAAATCATTTCGTGGATCTACTTGGTTGGGTTTTACAGTGGGATATTTTTTATTATGCTTATGAGCATAGACAGATACCTGGCAATCGTTCGTGCAGTGTTTTCCTTGAAAGCAAGGACTGCCTTCCATGGCTTGATTACTAGCCTTGTTGTATGGCTAGTAGCTCTTACAGCCTCAGTTCCAGAACTTGTATTTAGAGAATCTTTTAATGAACATAATTATACTACCTGCAAGCCGAGATATCCAGGCAATTTTACAACATGGAAAATTTTTTCCACTTTGGAAATCAACATTTTAGGGCTCCTAATCCCTTTTATAGTTATGACATTTTGCTACTCCATGATCATCAAAACATTAGTTCACTGCAGAAATGAGAAAAAAAATAAGGCTGTGAGGATGATCTTTGCTGTCATGATCGTGTTTTTCTTCTTTTGGACTCCTTACAACATGGTTATTTTCTTACAACTGCTGGAAGTTACAGGAGTCATTAGAGACTGTCAAATGAGCAGGAATCTGGACTATGCTCTCCAGGTAACAGAGATCCTCGGTCTTTTACACTGTTGCCTCAATCCAGTCATCTACTTCTTCATGGGGGAAAAATTTAAGAAGTACCTGAAGATCCTTTTCAAGAGCTGGCAGTTACCTGGAGATATTTGCAAGTGGTGTGGAGTTCACATCACTTACCACACTGAATCTACCAGTTCCTTCCACACACAATCTACAGGTGATCAAGACGGTCTGTAATGTGTTTCAGACCAGCCACTGAACTCACCAGCAAGTTAAACTGACAAAAGCAGGAACTTTGAAAAGCTAAGCAAATGCACATGCATTTAACAATAAGCTAGTGCCGGATAATTACTTCAGCTTTGATTTCTGACTCTAGAGTTTCTGAATATTATGACAGAAGGTGTCCTAGATGTGAAATGTGGAAAATGTACATGCAAGTTCTATCTCCTCTGATTACAAATCACTGCTCAGATATAACAGCAGATCTCCGCAAAGCATTGTGCTGTGCTGCTGCTTTTTCACCACCACCAAGACAGAGGCTGGCCTGCGTGGAGGGGCAGAGGAGAGACAGCTGCTTGTCACCAACACATGCATTTGGAAACCATATTCATTTATTCAAGAAGGATGGTTATTACCATATTTTTTAAATCTACAGTTGTTCGCTGTAGGACTTGTTCATTCTGACTCTTAGCATGCTATTAACAGTGCCTGTTACTGTTGTTTCATCTCAGGGAGAGGATACACCCCTTGTCATTAAGAAAAAGGACACAAAATATGTTCTTTATGTAAAGATGCAAAGCAAATGCATTACCTTGTGTTATAGACGTGTTTTCTCTTAGGTATCTAAATTGCCACATGTGCCTATGTGTAGGTGTATATATAAGCATTCTGAATTACTTTATCACTGTAATTCAGGATAGCAATTCTGTATTTTAATTAGCATAGAAAATGTTTTAAATATTTTTGAATAAAAGTGTTTTTAAAAACTGATTTTCCAGCATGTGGGAATAAATATGAAGCATCTTGGTTAAAAGGATATCTTTTAAAGTGAATGTTCTTTGTGCCAAAAGTACTTAGCATCAAGACTCAATTTTCATTTACTGCAGATATATCTGGCAAAATAAAAGAAAGTAAAATTGGAGATTGTGTAGAAACAGTCTGTCATAACTTAGAAACCACACAAAGAATCCTAGCATCTGGAAACAGCAAATTGCAAAAAAGCGTGGTGCCTCAGTAGCCACTCACAGATGTACATGATGTTAATCAGAGATCTGGAACAGGAAGGAAACTCACACAGCAATGTTCAGATTTTGTCAGAAAATCAATTTAAAAAAGGGGCAAAAATTGGTAATGTGGCAGCAGATAAAGTAAGAGTTGAAAAATACATAATGGAAGATATTTCTGGATGACAACCATTCAGCAGGAATACTTTTATTTTTCTAATGGTGTCAATAACAGAGTGCTTTCTCAGCATTCAGGCATGGCTGCAAAGAACAGTCAAGGCATTAAAATGCATCAGGAAAGGGCTGAAGAAGAAATGTAAGAACACTGTAGCACCATTATTCTCATCACCCTAAATAAGAAAGGTAAGTGGAAGCTCACCTTCATGTGACCTCTCTCATGATACATGACTGAAAATAAAAAGCAGCCCACTTAAATACTCATGCACACATATATCTATCATAATAAATTTTGGGAATGCATTAGCATTAGCAGTTTGCTGAGGCTGACAAGCAAGGATCTGCGTTAATGAAGATAAGAATAGCTGTGGAAGACATTACTTGCAGTAAGAAAGTGTCTTCCTTCCCAAGAAAAAGACTAAATTCTTACTACTCAAAACCTTACAAGACACTGAGCAAATCAACTGGGAAAAACTGTAGCAAAGGGGGGTGGTTAAGCCATCTATTACCTATTTTGAAAGGGAAAAGGAAGACAAATTGCAAGCATCAGGTGCTTCAAAGTCTCACAGATGCCACTGAACCGAACATGTCACTCCCAAGTTGGCATGGCACATTGTCCTCACAGATGTGATACAGGTGGCACAGTCACCGTGAACTGCTGAGCTGTTCATCAGTCAAGTGCACAGATTAACCTGGAAGCCAGACAGCACACTGAAGTTACTTCTTCTTGGTCTTACTCTGTGATCCTTCCAGACAGTAAGAATACATGGGTCCTTTTGAGAAACCTTGCTTTCCAGACCAGGGGAAGGGCTTCCTGTGCTGGCCTGGCAAAAATTATGGTTTACAAGCAAAAGCAAGCCTTAGGGTCTTAGACAAGAGAGGCTCTCTAGAGACAAGAGAGGTCCAGTGCTAAGAGCAATGTTGGGAACAGCACCGAGATGGCCAGCAGCTCACAAGCTGGTCTGGCTCTGGGCACACACCCTGTGGTGGGGGAGGACACCAAATCTGCTCATGTGTGGAATTAACGGGCCGCACCCAGCGGCTGTGCAGCACTGCCACAAATGGAGCTGGTGTAAAGCCCCTTTTCCACACAAAACTCGAAAATGCTTCACACTGCTGCTCAGCTTTGTGCCCCACAGCCTGTGCACATGTGCCTTTGGTGCAGAGGGTGCCTGGTACAGCCAGAGCTCCCTCCAGATGAACATTGTCCTTGCTTCTCTGCCTAAATAATCTCTTCCAGTCCTCCCAGTAATACTCACAGCTACTCAATGTATGTGCTGGATGACCAAGCAACCAAGCTGAAAGCTGTGCGCTGAGCTGGTTTGTTGAATCGGGTGCAAGGGGGAGCTCACCTTTAAGTGATGGGCTCAGGAATCCAGGTCCTGGGACTGGAGCTCATCAAACGCGGGTGGCTTTCTCTGCTGTCTCTGGGAACAAACCCTCCTCCCCCATGCACTGAGCTACAGTGGATAATGCCACTCCTTTTTTGAGAGAGGGCTCTGAAATCTGCTGATGAGAAAGGACAGGATAATAGTACTAATACAGACAAAAATAAATCAGGGATTTTCAAAATGTCAGTTGACCAAAAGGTGTCATTTTAGCTGAACAAGAGTTTCCAAGCCATGAATGATGGCATGTACAGACCTACTGAACCATGAAAGAAAATGGATAGACATTTGAGTGAGGCAAAGCTGACTCATTCTTAAACCCACATTTTTACATTAGGGTTCCTCAGAAGGCCAGCCTGTGTTCTCTCTTCAGTTGTGCTAAGCCACCACAGAAAGACAGATGAGGGGAAAATCAGCTTAACTATATTAAATACAAATAATAATGAAAAGGTAAAAAAAAAGTTGGTTGGTTTGTTTTCATACAGCACTTAGGCCACCACAGTCACTCCCTAAACAAAGATTAATTATACACTTACCTTTTACCTTGGAAGATGGCTTCATCCCTTTCAGTTGTGCAGAAGCAGCATCATGGTCAGCAGCCTCCTCCCAATCTACTCCTCTCAGTGTGAGCGCCAGTGAGGAACTGCTATTTTCCTTCCTATACTATTATTGCTTGCCACTGTCCCAGCACCAGCTCTGCACACATGGCCTGAAAGAGTACAATTCAACAAGCACTACGGTGCTCCTCTGTTACCAGGATGCTTCCAGTCTAAAGTGGCCAGCAGAGATCTACACTCACACATTTTTTTTTTTTTTTTTTTTTTTTTCTCAACACAGCCAGAGACCAACCTCATCAACTTCCACCTCTCATGCAGGTATCTTCATTTGACTTAATTTACAGTTAGAAATCAAAGGCCATTTAGTAATGTCAATCAAAATGATCATTAAAATGGTGCTTAAGGCAATGCCTACAGAGAGCTCAACAGGACTTCGTTACTCCAGGCAAGAAAGAAGCTTTTAAGTAGGAGACTGAAAATGAATTGTGAATATAACTGTGGTGAGATTTCTAGTATTTGTGTAACTGATAAGACCATTCGAAGGTGATGTAGTGCTGGTTGTACCTACAGTCATCTTACTGTAACACGGCAACGATGTATGCAGGTGCCACTGGCAGCCATGAAGAAATCACTCCTTGTGGAGCAGGCACTATCAATGAGGAGACTCCAAGTTAGATGCTTACAGGATTATTTTCTTTTTCACAGACATTCGGCAGCAACATCCATCAGAAAAATCGACAAACTCCCATTTTGTGGGACAGTCGTTGAATCAAAGACACTTCTCAGAAATGAGGCTCAAAAGTGGAAAAGCACTTTGTCTATTCCAAACCAGCAAAACCCAAGTCCTCTGCCAGCTCCTTCATGGAGCACTGGTATGACTGACCAATGCTGCTGTTCTTTCCCTTGGCAGAGCATATTCCTCCACAGGTCCTTCACATGCTTGCCTCAAAAGAAGAGTGCTCACAGGCCACACTTAGGCTTTTATCTTAATTTATTTTTGACCCTCCTTTTGAACTCACAGAAATGGTAGCACGCATATCATTGGCTGTACTGGAGAAGAGTAATTAATGTCTTCTGCATCACTGGTCACTTGACATTTTTAATAAATTGCTGTCTTACAGCTAGGGGATCTGAGGCACAGAGCAAGAGCTCAGACATTACGAGCACAATGCACATTTTGGACAGAATCTCAGGGCCTTCCCAGCTCTCTTTAGAGAAGATTCACATTTCAGCCTGGGGGAACTCCAGGTAAGAGCTGCCCATACTGTGCCCTTTCTGGTAGCCAAATGTGAGATGGCCCAGCCAATCAGATTCAGGTTCCCATCTGAATCCCAGTTCTGTGAAGAGGACCACAGGTTAATGTGAAGGGTATCTGCAGGTAAGTGGACAAAGATGACCAGCTAAAGCCATCATCCAATAAAAGATATTATTTGCTGGCACAGAGGGTGATGTATGTTCTAAAACACCAGAAAGCAAGGATTCCTGTTTGCAGGTGACCGAAAGAAAAAAAAAAGAATTAATCCCTGTGTAAATGTAGCTCAAATACATGACCGATCAATGCATCATATAGCTTTGGGTTTTGTGGGTTGTTTTTGTTTTTTTTGTTTTTTTTTTTTTTAATTATTTCAAGTCATCTTGGAAGGGTTGACTTTTCTTTGGGTTTTAGTTTCTTGTTGCAAAAGTGTAACAGCATGCATTCAGTACTATGTACCTCAGTAAGTGCACACTGAAAACTTTTTTTGATTTCAGCTGCTGCAAAATAAAAGCTACTAAGGCACTAAGATTGTTTAAACTCCAAAAATATGTTTATTTTTTTGCTTTTGCTTTTAACAACTATAGCAAGTCACCAAGAAACTCATCTGCAAGAACCAGATCTGTTATGAAACCCTCATAAAAGGTACTCTCAGTGCTGTTAGCAGCCTGTAAGAAAACAAAGACTGAATGAAGATTGGCATTACCAGATCCACTCTTCTGCTCAAAAGAGACCAGTGGCATTTCATCAGCATTTCCTGAGAAGCCCCAAGCAGCCAAGTTCAGGAAAAGACTTTCGTACCTTGGACAGTGTCTGGAACGACAAGTGGACATTCCTGCATGAAAAGTGTATTTGTCTCTTCTGCACAGGGACTTGGCACTCCTTAAAATATCTCCACAGAAGTACTGTAGTTTGAGCAGGTAGACTGAAGAGATGGTCCATCCCTGACTTTTAATCTGTCGCCATCAACACACACAGAGAGCAGTACCTGCTAGTAGTAACACAAAGTTATCTTAATCAAAGTGAAAAAAGACCACAATGGATCTCTCTACTTGCTCATAACTGGTAAACTGAAATCTGACCACAAGTAAGACCATGACCGCCAGACAGAGTGACTTACCTTTTCCACTACAAAAGTAGGTGCAAAAGGTATAAAAAAACACATAGAGAACAAAGAGAAGGATTTTTTTTCCTCTGTTGCCTATGCCCATGTTGCTCATTCACAAGAAAATATATGAAAAGAAAATATGTCTGGATGA